ATAAATTCGTCGCTGTTTTCACGAAGTGACGGTAGTGAAAAAAAATTGCATTCACTTTGCGTTACGATTTTCCTCACTACCGTCACTTCGTGAAAACAAGGACGAATTAGTCAAATAACTTTAAATTTTAACGGTTTATGAAAATATTAAGAGGAATCGGCATCCATTTAATTAATTGCCATGGTCCTTCTTTCGTGTCCATCATCTGATCTCAAATGTTTTGCCAGGCTTTTGCACACTGAAGAGCCTTCTCATTTGCTGCCACTAGGTCTTCTAGGCAGCATTGGTCATCTAGGAGTGGGCATCTTTTTAGTGTGACATAGATTGCGCGGATGTTCCACACTCGCAGTCGGTGTCGTGGTCCTCAAAACACATATTTGAATGAGTACAGTTAAATTTTGTTATATTCAAACGCGATGAGAAGTGCCTAGGTTCGAGACTCGTCATAAATTCGTCGAGAAGACGCGGAGAAGCCAAAGTCGTTATAGTAAGAGAGGGAGACAGGAGAGTTAACAAAATACTTGAATTAGAAGACATCATAAAAACATGCATCTCACACGATGGCGTTTATGACGGTGTTATACCATTGTATTTTAGTAATCCTATTTTGAGAAATAGGAGAGCGTATAGAAACGACGGTACCAATGTAGACAATGTAAATAAAATAGCCTTTATAAAGCCTCCATTATTACATTTCAAGCATCACCATTTCAGCTCCTTAACCTGACGCTAATGCTACTTCATTGCTATACTACACAATTAGGCCTACTGCTTATTCATGCAACCCATTTATTTGACACACATGTAGTCAAAATATTAGCCCCTTCGACAAATCTTTTCCTCAGTGTGCTCAGTTACTAAATCAGTGGATATACTATCAATATTGTAGATCAGTCCTTTACTGTCAAGAGAGCATTCTACCTATATGTTATGTCCATTTATAAATTATGTCCTCATTTTATTGTACTTATCTTTCCCAAATAATTTGAAGTTCAGTCTAAGATTTTTGATGAATATAAGTTAGAATATCTGAATGAACACCACATCGAACATATCGGTCCTCTTTCTTTGCGTGAAAAAATATCGCTCAGCAACCTCACTAACAAATCGGTTGTCTTACCTAAACTTAAAATGTTCTGCAACTTTTCTATGATAGTGTAACTGAGTATGTCGTGATTGTGAAAAATATACGTATATTTGGACTCAAAGTAAAGTAAAAGCTCTGTCAATATCGTTATTAATATTTTGAACTTGCCGAATTGGAACTAATGAATTTAATCCGAAAATAAAAATCACGCTCGTTGTATATAAAGTAGGCCACCAAAGGCCGATGGTCATTGGTCATCTCTCAAACTTCCGTCCAGTTTTGACAGCGACCCAAGCGGTATGCCAACAATTTTAATTTCTGGTCAGTCAAATTCAATGCCACTTTGAAATTTGACCGGCATGCAATAACTATGTTTTGCTTAAAAACAGACTTTCGTTTTGTTACCATTCATAATGGAATAACACTTTTTAGGCAATAAAACTCATAATAGTTGGACGTTTTAAATTTCGTACCGAACCACACAAGCAACAACTATGCGAGCTATTCTACAGGTAGATTAGCCTTTCCTCTCAATAAATATTCCCAGTGTTCGTGGCTTTGCAGGAAGGTATTCGCCAAAACTTCAACCATTGTTAATTTTCTAGAAAGAGCTCGAAACCATGAGTTTGGTCCCCTTGGGGTTGCCAAGTACCCTTCTGTTTTCCCCGACTTCCCTTCGTTTTTATTTCTATTTCAGGTTCTTCTTTTACTCCTTACCTTTGCTTCCAGTAGTTTTATTTTTACAGAGTTCACGGTTTACGTCAAAATCAACTTCTCCGCTTCTATTTTTGACGTGACGGTTTCTCATAAATTTCCTAATTGAATGTTAAAGGGCTTTTGTGAGCGCTTGAGGCATAGCGCTCCCTTCCATGCGTGTCAATCGGTGGTTAGTCTGTTCACAGGCTATGTATACCCCCTCCGAGCTAAACTACCAACTTGCCATATAGTAGACACTAACCGAAATGAAAATGTCATATTTTGTTGGAATACGTCCGGGTTGAATGACTGAAAAAAGTCAACTCGACATTGTCAGATTGTCAATGTTGTTTTTAGCCTAGACCATGATACCTCTACCACAGCGGTGAAATATTACAAGAATGCAATGGTTCGGTTACAGACGAATGAAATAAATTGAATAATGAAGTTGATTATGTCCTCAATTCTCCACAATACTTGATATTCATGCAATAAAAGCAGTTATTAAACTGTTTTCAATATTACTTAAAGCCACGCTCATTGCATTTATTTGAGTGCAAGCCTGTGTATTTATTTGCACTATATCTACCATGTGAATTTTCCTGTCATAGTCTGATGTATACCTTTCACAGGCATATGATTTCAACTTTGGAGAACGTAACTAAACAAAAATGAAAAAACAAGGAGGGGTCCAATTGACATTTGGAACTCAACCCTAAGTAAAATCATTACATTTTTTTTTTTGTATATAGAAAATTATATCTTAAGAGCGGCCGTGTGATTACTTTACTTTTTAATCTATTTTAGAAAATACATCGAGAATCATCGCTCTCAATTGCTGTTTAAGTATTGCTGAACCATTACTGAAAATCTTAGAAGAACATGTGTCACTAAGTTTGACTCTTTATAAGGCCTAACAACGGGATGAACGTATTGTTTCTTCTATCCACCAAAACTCATTGGGCAAGTTCATTATAGACTGTATTATTGCAGGTATCTGTAAATACTGTAATCTTATCGAATGGAGCTTTATTGTAGTTCATTCTGAACCATTGACAATGCGACATCGATCTCTAAAGATGAACAAGGATCTGTGAAAGCTATCTTTGTAGTCTTTACATGTTTATTAGAGCCCCCAAGTTCATTGTCGTATCTGGGCGCACAATGTCATCATTCTTTCTTCCACCGCCAAGTTTGACACATTCAAAACACACATCTCAATGGAAACATCGAATCAGTCCAAAGCCTAGCTCGCCAAGCAAAGAATCTAGCCACCTCCTTTGTGTGTCTCTGACTCTCTCTCTAGAGGTATGAAGATCTGCGAAAATCCGGTGATTAATTGGAACTTTATATCCTGACGAAGATCCCCCAAAGGGGTTGCCGATTTGAAAAGCGTATTGGGCGGTAATCAATGATGGATATGCAGATCCTTTCTTGATTTCGAACAATTGGATACGTTTCCTTGGAGCTTTTCTTTGAAAATCTAGATGTTAATGGTTATATGTAACTATTTGTTCGTGTTAGATGGGAGGGGAAGAGACGTAGCACATGTACGTGCAGAACATTATATTTTGTTGGATACCTGAACCATTGTCAAGTGTTGCACTCGTATACTGAAATATCATTCAATACATTCAATAACGGAAATCATAAACAAGCACCTCGATAAGAACTCCCTTTACAAATAACATACTTTGGGAGTGATTTAGTAAATTCAAAACTATTTCTCTCGTTGCTTGTGATCCGAGTTACAGATTTTGAAAGTTTTTTTGGGGGGTACAACTCGTGAGTCCAAATGCTTATTTAGGAATTGTTTGGTTATAGCAAAACATATGGACATAAGTCCGCTGTTAATAATGAAACCATTTCATTGATAACAAACTAGATGTTTTTTTTTAGTCAGAATGAGTCAGAATGAATCAGGAGAGCTTGGGTATTTGTTTCTAGTTCATCGTGACTGTGCCATGGACCAGTGATGGCCTGGTGGTAGAGTCGCTGCCCGGCAAGCAGTAGATGGCAGGTTCAAGTCCCGCTGGTTCCAAGATTTTTTCTGACTTGTTTTTCAATACAGATCGTCAATCGATCTTATTTACTGGGTGTATAAGCCACAAATATGTTTGAATAAACTAGATGTTGCTTTTCCCCATGAAAAACTGGAAAAGGATATCTCATGCACAAATTTGAATGTTTATCTGTATGATACTTTATTTTCAATTACACCTATGTCTTTCCCCAACACACACACCCACACATGCGCGCACCCGTCCACACATACAAATGGTATTAGTTTTTAATATTACATATTTTCGTTACCTAGACACTTTTGTTATTATTTTCCTAGCTGTGTTGAACGGTTATGTCATCTCGTCACAAATCATCTCGTGGTATTCTCCCTCACAACCAATGCACCATTGTCGATCCAAGTTTCAAAGAATTTTGTTTGATATATTCATCCTTCGATCAGGGGCGGCGATTTCTATTCATGGGGCGTTATTTTCTTCTGCGGCACAGATTGGGGCTTTTTTTTAAAGGCTCAACACGCACCTAACCCCAATCTGTGCCGCCTAAAAAATTAACGCGACCGGATTTTATGCGAGGAAGCGTAGCGACCGAGCGAGAATTTTGTTGCATTTGTATTAGTCTAAACGCTGCACTCTTGGGCCCTCCAGAGCTTAAAAGTGTGTTGCAGTCATATTATTCAGTGTATGCTAAACATTTTGTTGGCACTTTTTCAAATTTTCCGGGGGGGGGGGGGACGACGATTCCCCCCTAAAATAATTGAGGGGGAACGTGTCCCCCCCCCCCCGTTCCCCCGGGATCGCCGCTCCTGCGGCCACGATACCCCCTTCTTCCTTTTGACACCTCAGATTTTGTAAACGGTTCCTTTTCGATTTTGTTTCTTTTATGTGATCATTCATTCTCTTTGTCATTCTATATCTCGTGTTATTGACTTGAAATTTCTAGCTCCATCACTATCCTCATTCATGAGCAAGATGAAAGTGTGATTATGTTTTTTTAGAGGGACGGGTGGGAATTTAGCTGGCTCGTTTAGTTGACGCTATTCACATGCCAAAGGGATAGTATCAAAGTCCGAGGGAGGTGTAGCGAAACGACCTATGTTGGTTCGAGCCAATGAGAGGTCGCGTCGAAGCTTTTTCTTGGTTTCTTTACTGATCGAGGGCTGTGAGTGCACCCAATATTCCGTACACACAACCAGGTAATCATTTGTCTCGCAGGCAGCTGACGTACAAGGACCTACCCGTCAGACTCTCTCTCTCTCTCTCACTCCTCATCTTTTCGAGCTTACGAGAGACAGCTCTCAGAAGCCGAAGGTGGCAAATTTTAACAAGTTTCGCAAGATTTTCGCCCGGCTTTGTCAAAACATTGAATATTGATCTCCGTCATCAAATTTCATTCGGGACAATTCTACGTCATCTTTTTGAGGCATGTTGATGGTTTCTATCTTGGAAAGACCTTGTGGATTACGTTCCTCCCACATACCATGATCAAAGGTAGGTGTGTATTGGTCCCGGTGGTAAACTAAACTATAATTTCATATCGTGGGGTGTGCATTTTTTCATCTCTTTTTTCAATCATTTGTTCGTTAAGTCTTTAACATATTTGATTCCAGCTTTTGTCCTCTTGCTCTCCCCTCTTTCATTTTCAGGAATAAGGAAGGACTGTGCTCGAAAAGCTGCCGGTAGTGATTGAGGATACAGCACTGATTTTTGACTCTTGGACAGGTAGGAGACGGCAGTTCTGTTGACAAAGAACCTGCTTTTTTTTACCAACCCACAAAGAAGGAGGGAAGCATAAATACAGAAAAGCTTCGTCAATTTCATCCCATCGGCGTGATGACGAAGATCATTCTGTCCCATGAACTATAGCTGTTGGCTTTGATTATTAAAAAGCAAAATGGAAACGTGTACGAACTCCTTATCGAGTAACTCTCCGTCTGCCAGCCCTTGCAAGAACATGACGTCGAATCGGAGATCGCAGACGTCTTGGAAGATAAGTCGACGCTTCTCTCGTCTCCTATGTCGACCGTCTATGACGATACTATCAAACGCCTTAATCTTACTTTGGACTTTTGTTGGAATTTTATCACCATCCTTCACGAGAGCACAAGATACAACGTGGATGTAAGTCAATAATTTGATTTGATCGTTCCCCTCTCTTTACTTCTGTCTCTCTCCCTCTTTCTATCTATATCCCTAGCTTCTACACAAACTTTCTCCTTTGATGTAAATACATGCTTCATATCCTTTCAGCTTCTCACCCCACACTTTCCTTTCTTTGTCGAGTTAAGCTTTTATGTTCGAAGTCATTATGATGATGTCTGATTTGTGAGTAGTTTACGGAATCCATAAAAGTGATTATACAAATGTGGTTCTTTGGTACTGCTCAATTTGTAGTGATTACATATGTTTATCAATACGAACGTATCATTAATGCCTACCCACCAACATAACAGATTAGGTCATAATGGCACCTTACCGTATAAATGCTCTCAGGATTAACAGCATTTTGTTAAGTTAATAATTATAAGAGGATGCCAGACATGGCCATTTTTTGTTATACTCACAGTCCGACTCTATCTTGCACGCCCTATAAATTCCATTTATACTGACAATAACAACAAAGAGAAGAAAATGCAGTAGGTTATTCCTTTCAGTATACTATATATAAACACATTGATTATCTAATCTCTCCCTGAGGAGATGCTGCTAGAGATTTTCTATATGGTGATAAAAACCTTTAATCACGATGAGAAGATAAATGTGATGTCTGATTGGTGAGACAAATGTATGGAGGCATATAATTGTGAAAGGATAGATATCACCAAAGAGCTCATCTTCCGACTCCTTTCATCGTGTTAGGGGAAAATAAAGTTGTTTTTTCTTCTTCATACAAACTTTCAAAGTAAAACAGGTTTAGCAAATACCAAGAAAGAATAAATAAACAAAAATCAATATTCCCACTTGTTGACTTTCTTGAAGGGGGTCAACATGAGTTAAAACATACTTATTGGATCTATGATGTAAGAAAGAGAGAGAGGGGAGGGGAGGGAGCACTATAGCGTGACAACTGATAGCTTTACGATTTAAGATATTGTCCGCAAGCCATATATTTATGAGAATTAACGAAATCGAAATCAAGTAGAAGATGGCAGCTTGTCGACCTCCAAGCCCCCCCCCCCCCTCCCGAAAAAAAAGAATAAAATCATCACAGTGAATGAAACTGTGAGCCTTTCTTTCTTTTGTATAGATTGATAATTGTCTTGTTCTTACTGATGCTGAAAATACGTGCCTTTTAGCCAACCTGTTTAGAAATGATCTTCCCAAGATGAAGAAACATCATCAAAGAAAATGCTCCATCACTTTGCGTGATTGGACGAAATAACATTCGTTTATTGGCATTATTCAACACTTAACTGTTTGCTATTTAAATCTCAATAAATGGCACCTATTTTAAATCATATTTCATTCAAATGTTTTGAGAATCCTTTACCATTCAGATTAGCTAGTTGAGTGACACTCTTAAAAGAGCCGTGAAAATTGGGTTCTTATTGAGGACAAGGTATTCGCGATAGAGTAGGTCGGGGAGGAAGGTCGGTCACTCGTTCCTATACCAGTCCACCGGGACCGATTAATGATTCTCTGCATGCAGCCGTCTAACGATAAACAATTTACTCTAAATATAAAATCATCGTCATTTAACTTAATGATCCATGTATATGTTAACGAAAGAAGTGCAATGAATGAAAGATTATGAACTGAACTGATATTGCATTATGAAAAGGAATGTGTTTTCGTCTTGTATACTTTTTGCGTAGCCTGTTTTTCCTGAAATTGACATGGAATAGGTGCAAATTTTCGACATCATTTTAGTCAGCCAGACATAAGGGCAAAGGGCAATTAATGTAACGTAACGAAATGGAGTTAGGTAGAACGTTGGAATTACATGAACGCCTACGCCATACATACCCAATGGAACTGCTATCATCTTTCCCTTGCCGTGTTTGCGTGGCGCCGAACATTTTGCTTGGCGATAGAACTGGATAGTGTGGTAAGAAGGAGAGGGGAAGAAGGTTTAGAAGAAAGATAGATGGACGGAAACAGGTACATGGATAGCAAGTGTAAATTAACATGAATGTTGAAATAACAAAATTAAGAGAAAGAATGAGAGGGAGAGGGGATAACGGATGGTTTGTAAACAAAACACAACATACACACACACACAATTTGAGATTAAAAAAGGGAAAATAGTTAAGAAAGATTTAAAATAGAATATGCAGATGAAAGAAAGAAATGAATGAAAATGGAATGACAGAGATGAATCGATGAATTCAAAATGAGTGATTAGGAGATATATACCAATTTATAGAGAGAAAACGAGGTAAACATCTGACAGGACAAAAGGAGAAAACTGGAGAGATAGAGGGGGATTTAAAAGGGAAAATAGGAAAATGATAGAAAGAGAGAGAGAGAGAGAGAAAGTGATTTCTCACTATCCGGCGACTACAGCTCGACAGGCCGTAACCAATATTTTCCCTGGGTCTATTGTTCCCGAGTGGTATCAGCACCAAACTGAAGTTGCCAAATCCCCACCATGTATAGTGGCCTTGCATTGTTTCCTTTCCCTTCTGTATCTGCTATCAACCCACGACGCCATCTTTAACCTCAACTCAACCCTTTTTGCAATGACGAACCTTCGTCATTGCCTTGTTTTCGTTCACATTCTGCCCCATTAATATTCTCCTTTTCCTCCTTTTCCTGTTCCTTATCGTCAGGAAATCGCATTCGTTTTGCACGTAGTGTTTGTTATTCCTGGTTCGGTGCTTTCATCATGTCCTTTTCCTTTCAAATTTCATAGGCATGGTCTCTAACATCTCATCAAGGTCACTACATTCTTTGATTTTCGAAATCACTCATGCATAACCGTCCAGGCGCCATTTTGTCCGTTTTTGGTCCATTTTAAGGCCTTTCTGTCTTCCTTCCTATCTCCACTATCCTAGATTCTACAAACTTCTAACAAATTCCTCTAGATAGTCTAATAGATGTTCTTTCATCTGCGACGTATGACCTGACCTTCAAAATGCCATCTTCGTACTCAAAATTCAAATCTGAAACTGACTCCGTCAAAAATCTCTCAAATTCTTGAAAAATGGACCCCTAAAAACCTAAAACTGCCATAACTTTCTCATATAAATTCCGTTTTGTGTTTAAATCTCACATTATCCTTATCTTATAATTGCACATAGCCATGCCAAATTTCATGCTCCAATGACTATGCAAAACATAAATAGCGCCCTCTAAAGTTCTGGGAATTGGCTTTCTTTCTGTGGCCGTATCTCCATAATGGCTTGGCAAACCCGTACCCTTTTTGCAATGACGAACCTTCGTCATTGCCTTGTTTTCGTTCACATTCTGCCCCATTAATATTCTCCTTTTCCTCCTTTTCCTGTTCCTTATCCTTATCGTCAGGAAATCGCATTCGTTTTGCACGTAGTGTTTGTTATTCCTGGTTCGGTGCTTTCATCATGTCCTTTTCCTTTCAAATTTCATAGGCATGGTCTCTAACATCTCATCAAGGTCACTACATTCTTTGATTTTCGAAATCACTCATGCATAACCGTCCAGGCGCCATTTTGTCCGTTTTTGGTCCATTTTAAGGCCTTTCTGTCTTCCTTCCTATCTCCACTATCCTAGATTCTACAAACTTCTAACAAATTCCTCTAGATAGTCTAATAGATGTTCTTTCATCTGCGACGTATGACCTGACCTTCAAAATGCCATCTTCGTACTCAAAATTCAAATCTGAAACTGACTCCGTCAAAAATCTCTCAAATTCTTGAAAAATGGACCCCTAAAAATCTAAAACTGCCATAACTTTCTCATATAAATTCCGTTTTGTGTTTAAATCTCACATTATCCTTATCTTATAATTGCACATAGCCATGCCAAATTTCATGCTCCAATGACTATGCAAAACATAAATAGCGCCCTCTAAAGTTCTGGGAATTGGCTTTCTTTCTGTGGCCGTATCTCCATAATGGCTTGGCAAACCCGTACCCTTTTTTGGATTTAGATACTTGAAGATATGCCCTTTCCAGCCTTATACAAAATTATATACCCTTACACTGACCAAATTTGAGAAAAATGCCCTCCAAATTTGCCATTTTCGAGAAAAATTCCAAAATAACTTCAACTTGCTTTAAAATGGCGATCTTTATACCTACATCAATGAAACTTGGCAGATATATGTATCCATATACGTGACAACTGTTTACCAAGTTTGGTAAAATTCAAATATGTCAGCGCAAAGTTATCGCCAAAAATGATGTATTTACTATGGATTACGTAATAGCGCGTTCAATGCGCGCAATACATTGCGCGCAGTTAACAATGGTGTCAAACTGACCGCAATGAAGAGCCCTTTCGGATGATACCAAGTATTATATATGTTCACACAGAAAATTGTGAGTAAATCGCATTTGAACAAAGATCACTACACGAATTCCGCCGAGTTTCCGCCCGAACCTAACACGTTTCGGCTATGACGTCATTTTTTCAGACTGCTTTTCGCCCCTTAAACGTCCTTTTTTTTCCTTGAAAATTTGCAGTGACATGCCGAGTTCCAATACGCAGGGCACCTCTTGGCCGGATTTTTGAAATTGGTCAAGGGGGCCATTCAAGACGCCATTTTGTCCTATACATCTATTTTACATCACGTGTTTCGATAGGATTATCATAGAAAAAAAGAGAGTGGTTTACAATAACAACCATGAAATTCTCTTTCTAATGATACCAAATACGGCCCATAAAGAGACGTAAAGAGAGAGAGAAAAAACAATTTAACTCCGGCCATAATACAGATCCTGCACGTTTTCCGCCCATTCATTACACGCATTGTCTATGGGGCATATCGGGTTCACGCTTTTGGCCCCCACAACGAACTTGATTGCAATGTCAAACATGCACCAAATCCCATTGGTTTGTGCACGCAGTGCTTGCGAGCCCTTTCTAGGTTCTTTCCCCTATCCCAATTTCTTTCAAACTTCGTAGGCATAGTACCATCCCATCAAGGTCACTGTTGATGCCTTTCTTTCGCCCTACCTATCTCCAATATCACAGAAGCTACAGACTTCATGCAAATTGCTCTGGATAGTCCGAGAGAAGCTCTTTCGTTTGACACGTAGACACACGGCGTCATTGCACGCACATCGTTCTGACACGATTGCATTTCTAGTTTGGATTTAGATACTTGAAGATATGCCCTTTCCAGCCTTATACAAAATTATATACCCTTACACTGACCAAATTTGAGAAAAATGCCCTCCAAATTTGCCATTTTCGAGAAAAATTCCAAAATAACTTCAACTTGCTTTAAAATGGCGATCTTTATACCTACATCAATGAAACTTGGCAGATATATGTATCCATATACGTGACAACTGTTTACCAAGTTTGGTAAAATTCAAATATGTCAGCGCAAAGTTATCGCCAAAAATGATGTATTTACTATGGATTACGTAATAGCGCGTTCAATGCGCGCAATACATTGCGCGCAGTTAACAATGGTGTCAAACTGACCGCAATGAAGAGCCCTTTCGGATGATACCAAGTATTATATATGTTCACACAGAAAATTGTGAGTAAATCGCATTTGAACAAAGATCACTACACGAATTCCGCCGAGTTTCCGCCCGAACCTAACACGTTTCGGCTATGACGTCATTTTTTCAGACTGCTTTTCGCCCCTTAAACGTCCTTTTTTTTCCTTGAAAATTTGCAGTGACATGCCGAGTTCCAATACGCAGGGCACCTCTTGGCCGGATTTTTGAAATTGGTCAAGGGGGCCATTCAAGACGCCATTTTGTCCTATACATCTATTTTACATCACGTGTTTCGATAGGATTATCATAGAAAAAAAGAGAGTGGTTTACAATAACAACCATGAAATTCTCTTTCTAATGATACCAAATACGGCCCATAAAGAGACGTAAAGAGAGAGAGAAAAAACAATTTAACTCCGGCCATAATACAGATCCTGCACGTTTTCCGCCCATTCATTACACGCATTGTCTATGGGGCATATCGGGTTCACGCTTTTGGCCCCCACAACGAACTTGATTGCAATGTCAAACATGCACCAAATCCCATTGGTTTGTGCACGCAGTGCTTGCGAGCCCTTTCTAGGTTCTTTCCCCTATCCCAATTTCTTTCAAACTTCGTAGGCATAGTACCATCCCATCAAGGTCACTGTTGATGCCTTTCTTTCGCCCTACCTATCTCCAATATCACAGAAGCTACAGACTTCATGCAAATTGCTCTGGATAGTCCGAGAGAAGCTCTTTCGTTTGACACGTAGACACACGGCGTCATTGCACGCACATCGTTCTGACACGATTGCATTTCTAGTCTTTTCTTCTTGCTCTTCAAGCTCAGAGAAGATCTTGATATATGTTTAATTAGATCAATTACTCCTGCTGAACGCTCTTGACAACAAGAGATTTGTATAACGGTCCAATGCGGCATGCTTCAGCAACAGATCGAAAATGTTCGGGAAGCGGCTCTTTCTTCAGAGAAAATGGAAAATAGGCCTACTATTGATCGAGGAAACGGTTTGTCTTTTTTTTTTATAGAATAACTGACTCGCGTCATACCGAAATGCTCTAAATGTTTGTATCTTATGGTATGATATGCATTTACCTTTGGAGACCAAAAGAGAAAGATTAGAAGAAAGTTAGTGAAAGAGGTAAGGGTTTGGTGAAGTATTTCATGATGAATGATTCCTGATCATGCATCAAATAAAAAAGAATCCAATAGATAAATTTAAGAAGGATTACCGTGGATTGAAACTTAGATCAAATCCTTAAAGACACAGGGGAGTCATGAGGTGGATATAGGATCCGCCCCTTGGAAGTGGAAATATCTGAAAGACAAATAAAAACGTAGAGCATCTTCTAAGAGAATATAAAAAAAGGACCTTTATGGGAATACTCATGAAACGAAATTCATCATATCGGCCTTAAGATCCTCATCGTTATGCATCAATCATATACAAAATTTGGGCAATATTTGCCTGATGGCAGGGTCACCATGAATACGCGTTTATGAAGAAAAAAAAATTAAACACTGCATATAGTTGTCCTCGTACAAAGAGATTGTACTGACACATGTAACATTGAAAAATGACAGTATTCTGGGTTAAAGAAAAACACTATAAGTGATTATGGTACCGATGTTTCTTGACAGTTACAAATGCTGCACCCTGCCTTTAAGTGCTCCTCGAATGGTGTGACGGATGGCTGGATCTTAATCGTACGTCCATCACGGTTACATTGAATTGCGCCAAGACGTATCGCGAAAATAACTTGAAAGGAGCGAAGGAATGACACATCAATAGGGCGACAAGCGATACCTCTTTATTCATGGGAGCTCAACGGAATCGCCTCAAAAAGACTTTTAATCAAATTCTGACTGGCGGCACATTATACGTTTTGTTCTCGTATTAGAGCGCAATACCTCGAAAGAGTCCGTTTAAATCCGCCTTTGACTCACAGCGGTAGTCAGCTATCGATCCACCAATTTTTGCAGCGCATCATTGTCTGCGTGAGAGTAGCGGCTCTTTTATTTTATTACCTTCTCCCAAGCTGCTTCTATTACACCCAGGTACAGTTTATTAGAGTCACTTCATAGCTGTAACTTCTGATCCACTCCGTCGCAGATAAAAAGAACTCAATTACAAGAATTCTAAAAGTCAATTTCTAGCGGAATTAAATCCCTTCGGACCGTTTGAGGTATTAGGTTATGTATTGTGTGAACCCATTATAGAATGTCTTGCACACCAATGATAATTGATGGAGTGGACATAGTTTGAAAAGAAGATTGGCCGTTCCCTCCCTCCTAAAGAAACTATTATGTAGTTCCAATGATTAATTGCAACCTACACATGTTGCTTCTGTCAAATCTAACATGTAGCCAACTTTGTAGTCAACTTTTTGAGTACTGCAATATCCATGATATGCCAAGCTGCATGGTTATGCGATTTATTTGTTTTTGCTTTAGTTCAAGGTGTTTATTGAAACACGAAGCAAGACCTGCAATATTTTCAGAATGCTTGTCATTTTTGAAATCCTAAATGTACATCAAAGCCTAACAATACAGACGTTTTCATAACCTATACTCAGACATAGCCTAAAGTCAGATTATGTCATGTATCCTGATCCATAGAAGGGATATTTCGTCGATGTCATAAGACCCAAAGTTGTCCGGTTTCCCAGAACCCTTTGAAGTTTTCAAATACGCAAATCGGTTTCCAAGGAGATCTCAAAAGAACAAATGAGAGCAGCTGAAATGCGGTAGAGGACAACAGAGGTAACCTACCATTTAGCTCACAGTCTGATCAACTTTCTTTAATGAATATGAAGAAGTGGAGCCTGTAAATGGAAGCTTTCCTAAGTTCTATAGACGCCAGAATCTGACAAACTTGTCGAAAAAGTACGACTTCTCATTCTAAAAATGTCATCTTTTGAATAGCTCGATTGTTTTATTTTCTTTATTGTAACCGCTGATCACTCATCATGTGTGATACTTATCTTTTGTTCCAAAGATACAAACCCCGACAAACAATTATAGTTGTTGTTGTTGAATGGCATCTCACCTTATGAACATTTAACACAAGGAACCCCCTCTCAATAACCCAGTCACAACAATGAGACCGACAATAGACCAAACAACAATTATGATACCCCAAATGGCCAAGAATCGATCAATTTTTGTCCAGTTGGAGTCGATTTTATGATCAAAGATAGGACAAAAGTAACAACCAAAACTATAAATTGCAAGTGAGGTATTAGTGTCAGTATTTGCATTTGTCTAGTTTTCTAAATGCATAAATCATCCCACAGTACTCTAATGAGGTAGGTTTGATGTGGTAATTTGACGAAATTTGTCCAAAAAGTACACAGGTCTAGAGGAAATTAACAGAAAGACATTTGAGTGAAAAATATCCTTTCTCTGAATTACCAAACATCTCAAGACTCTCTTTTCCTTTAAAACATGTCAATAACTTACAAACCTTTTTTGTTCCAACCTTCTTCTTTCCCTCTACAGAAATCTAGGACTGGACACGAGAGTCCAGCAATTCGATGCCTTCCGGAACCCAGAGCTGTTCATCCTGGGCACCCAACCCCTGTGCAGTGAGTTACTTGGTCTGTCCCCGGGTCAGCAGAAGCTATGCCAGCTCTACCAGGACCACATGGCACCCATTGGTGAGGGCGCTAAGATGAGCATCGACGAGTGCCAGAACCAGTTCACCAACAGAAGGTGGAACTGCAGCACGGTCGACAGCAATAATGTCTTTGGAAAGGTGCTCAGCATATGTAAGTATTTTTGAGCTGATGAACATGTTAACAAAGTTGGTTCGAGCTAACGGGATGGTGACTTATCGTAAAGACTCAGTGTGAAGTGAATGTACAATGTCCGATTACTTGACATTATATCGCCACCATGAGATACGTATTGATTTTGATTCATTTTCCTAAGATAAGTCCTATACCCAACCTTTTTTGTTTCGCATAACCTGAAAGGCCAATCTTCAAAGATGTCTGCCTTGGCATTATTTTTAGAAAGGATACTACGATACCTCAAGGCACAGTAGGCAGAGATATTGTACGAATAAGACGTGTTTCATCACCTCTCCTTCTCTTACACACAGTACATTTCCTTATCAAAGCTTCAGAGTAATATTAAGAGCTCATAGATTTAATGTGTGCAGAATTACTGTTATACCTACTTACTTTTGAATCCTTCGGATTTCTCGGTTAATGTGCGTTACCATGACCCAATAGTTGAACTAAATTCAAGATATAAGTATGTTACCCTAGTTCAACTGTGAGTGTACATACAACCTCCGCTGCCTTCATGCAGCTATTTTATGCACTCACTACTCAAACAAATTTATCTGAAAAGTATACATTTCGTCCTAGAAAACATGGCCATGAATTTCAGACCTTCCCTGATTTTGATCACGAGTAAACATTATTAAAACGCCGTTAAAATTCAGGGTGCCAATCTAGTGCTAAAGTTTGTGTCTGGTGTGGAGGAGTTTTCTTTATTACGCGATATCGTCCGATATTAAAGGTATATGAATATTTACAGATATTTTTTACAACAGGTACGTATGTTTACCACTAATGCATTAAAGATTATTTCAGAACAAATACCCCTGCATTTAATTGTTCTCGGACCTCTTGCTAAGTTCCAAGCTTTGCTGATTCAAGTTGGAAATAATGCAAAGTTCGAGAGCCAATTGAACATCGAAAATCGAAATATAACTTCAAACGAATCGTTTTCTTCTTTCTTTTCCAAATGCTTATCATTTAACGTATGGGATAACACCTGAAGAGTGCTTCACATTAATTTTATAATCTTTGTTCATACATTATTGCTGTTGAATTTATTTGAAGTTTAATAATGTTCATTCTTTACACGGAACCTTTCTTGTCAACCATTTAATGCATGTCCTCGTAGTTATTGTTATTGTCTTATGCTAATCACAAAATATACATTTATATAATAAGTTTGTAAAGCGATGTGATGCAGTTACTGTAAGGTCGCTATAACATGGGTCAATATTGTATTGTATTGAATAGGAGTAGGACGTATTAGATTTGTATTCGACTGTTCATAATGGAGAGATTCAATTTTAGTTTGGACAGATTAACACCTGCCTTATTCGTTTGATTTATATAAAATGACTTGTCAAAAAAGACGCAATGTCGGAGTTTACACTCTAAAACAGAGCTATGCAATTCTGATATCATTGCTATACATTTTATTACAGTCAAAGGTCGAATATGTATCCACGCAAAGAAACAGTAGACATATAAGATGACCAAAAGAAGTGTTATATTGATTTATATTCATTCTATTTAGAACAAACATACGGTCCGGTTATAAAAACAGAGAACCAAGATCAAGTTGTAGGAAGGGGGCATCTTCGTAAGATGATATGTTTATCTTTCATTTTGGCCCTGTGTCATTTATGATGAAGTATTTCACATCGTGTTCTCTGTTTCTTCGTCGTTGCCCTTTCCCGTTATGTGGGATGACATGTTCTCCCCTGGTTCTCTTTCTCTTAAAAAAAAAATCTAAATCGGCAACACCAGTCAATCGAATGGTAAGGTGATGTGATTCATTGAAACATTTCTTTTGTTCAATTACAATTACAAAACAATCATCAAAACAAAAATTACGAAGGCATTAATGTTTGAATGCTCTACGTTTCCTGGTCGGTAGATGCAGATAAAACGGTAGTGATTGGAATGCTATTCAGCTCAGTATTTTGCTTCGGAGTACATATGTGAAGACAAAGTTATGTTACTTTCAGTTAACTCAGACGCAACGCAGAAGACACCAAGTTTAGATAGGCCTTTTAAGTTCGCCATCCATCCACTATAGTCTTCTCTTAAACAAAACTGACTTAAGACATTTTTTTCTAGGGGATCACGACAAAGATAGGAACTAATCGCAAAATATAGACATTAACTTTGGCAACCGCCAATCCACCCAATGTCGAAAAACTTATTGTATGCGATATACGTGTAGTTCCGTAGTATGACAAAGTGATTAGATGGTAGAAGAGGAAGGGGTTGGTTGACGACAATCCCTCCCATCTCCTTTCACCACGCCACCATTTCCCCACATCCCTTCCAAATCCTAACCGATCGTAGTAAAGCTGGATGATATGGAAAACCCGTTTACCAGTCTCATTTACAATTAGGTCATGGTCGAGGTGTCGGCGTGAAATCTAGCCGTAAATCATCCCCAAGTTGAAGGCAATAAATTCTTTTACCGCCTATCCTCCCCAGGCCAGGTGACTGCCATTTATTAGAAAGACCGTCCCCACTGCAGTTGATGACAAAAATGTCTTTCTATACCAAATACTTAGAATAAGATAGAGTGAACAAAATCATTGGCCGATTTCGTCATCTGTCTTGTGATAAATGATATGATCCAAATCATACAGTTTTGATTCAATTCTTAAGTCGCTGGAGTGGCTTTCAAGGTCAGTCTGTCCAAAAAGGTATTGCTGTACATAACAAGTTTACATGATGGTATTCAGATGAGACTCCTATCTTTAATGATACATATCTACATCCAAAAAGAAGATAATGCGATTTCAGATTTGTTGTATGGAGAACAATCTGAAGGTAGTTTTTGGCCTACTTCATGACTTCAAGTTTAGCTCTAGTACCAATACCCGAGTACATAACGGGTAATCAGCTATGGGACATATGTTTGCATCTCACATGAACGAATAAACAACATCTTTAGAAAGAAACCATTATACTAAAAATTCTAAAGACCTGAATCATTTAGGTCAGAAAGCAAACTTGCACATCGCTTTATCTCACGTGAGATTAAAACTCAAAGGGCGACTTGAAAAAGCTCGTGCACCCTTTAAGGCTACGCTCCAGATTCTTGCAAACCGGTTTCACATAATACGTGTCAGGCGAGAGAATGATTACCACCATCAATTTTATTTTCACTTTGCCCCAGCTCCATGAAGCCAAGCAATTTTGGCACTTCGCATTTTATCTTGGTGTTTATGATAAGCAAATGCTGCATGGCCTTTCATAATTTCACCCAATCATCTACATCTGGTTGGAGTGAAACCATGGAAACTAAGAAATGTTTCATTATAGATTGTTTACGATTAAAATCCTCCACTTTCACTTTGCTCCTCTTTCTTTCATTCGACACCCATATTATTAAATGTGTCAATGTCATATCGGTCAAATCATTTTCGCCAACATAAAGTAAAAGAAATAAAACAAAAGAAAAGAATTCTCTCATATAATCCACCCTTGTCATTCATTTGTCTTGCATAATAATGTCATAACACGCGTGCGCGTACACACGCACACACACACACACACACGCACAAACACACACACACGCACAAACACGCACACATGCACATGACTGTAAGCCTTCCCCCACCCACATACATACATTTTGAAAACAACAACATCAAATGCATAACAACAGGCGATATCTTCATGCACACATACCATGTTTTTAATGATGTTACTTCTGAGAAGTACTGTCAATATGTTTACAAATAATATAGATATTGGCCGAAGAGGTACGTTTCAAATGAGCAATTGAATCATTAAGAGTCTGTGGTACATCGGATTTGGTCTACCCACAGTTCGGTGTGATTCTAATTTGTAAACATCGGAATTCTACCAAAACTTAGGTCTGATTCACACAATTAACGTTTCTTATATCGTCACTTTCTTATAGGGGATTATCCGAAGGTTTTCTTTTCTGACGTAATCGGCGGCTTTAAATTTAAGCCTTCCTTCTTTATAATGTGGCACCAGCAACCTGTAACGGATCAAAAGTGCTCTTTATTAAAACAACCGAATGAAAAACGAGATTTTTTTTTTCGTACTGGCTTACCTTGGTTTAAAACACTAAATGAGGCGTGAAAATTCCATGGAAAATTCCAAGCCCGTGGAAGGAGGATAATTTCTATCTAAACCGCTTTAAACCTAAAGTCAGATTCCTAAGACTTTCAGAAGGAACCCGGCACGGTGCGATAAAGCATGGGGAAAGTAACAATGATTTCAAATTAGTTAAATACTTGTTTCAGCAATTATTATTTAAATCTGCAAGTTTATGTCGAATATCATCTTTTGGGGGTAAATTATTTGTTGGGCGAAATATGTAACAGGATGAAATTGCTCAGTCAAGACAGATCGAATCTGTTTAATGGGTAGTTTTACTACTATGTGATTTCTGAAAAAAATAGAAAAAAAATAAATTACTCCAAGTCTTAGAAATCATCAAACGGCTGAAAAATTTGATGAGAACCAGAAGGGCGTTAACTCTCATCATATTACCCAGAGTTAACGCCCTTCTGGCTTTCTAAAGAAGTTAAGATGTTGCTCGTCATAGATAGGAAAATACATTATTTTCACAGAGTGTTGTTCCCATTTGATAATAGACTTTAAATGAAATCTAAATCAATCCATTTACGGAATAGTGAGACATTTCACGAGACTTTTACACATTTCTAAAGTAGATCTATATCCTCATTAAAAAAAAACGTATATCGGGTAAAACAAAAGCAAGATATTTGGTATAATCAGAAGCGTCTGCCAGTCACGTCATATTTAGTAAGATCTTTAAGATGTTGGGATCAGAAAGGGCAGATTGTACATAATGGCGGAACATTTGGAAGGAACCAGTCTCGTCACCGTGTTCGCGGATCTTAAAATTGGATGTCGACATGTTTGCTAAACAAGCTCCCAACAAACAATACCTGAATACACGGCCCTATTTGATAAAGCCCTGGCCTCTCCCTCAC